TTGGTCGCTTCGGGTCTTACATGCTAAGAGTGTCATAGGGAACAGGTTGAGAGAGAGAGTAATTGATTCTGACGTCCAGTCTTCCTGCCAGTCAGGCTATGCATAGGACTGATTGTGAGGTCTCAGTTGTACTGTCGGTTTACAACCTTCGAAGTCATCATCAATTGGTAGTACGATAGTTAAAACGTAGATATCGACGATGTCCACCGTAAGCTCCACAACTGGGGGGATACAGAGACGGTGACTTGTGTGAGAACTAGTTTTAGGTGATAGTAGACTTTCGTAGCATCCACCGCACTCTCTCCTCCCCTACCTACCCACCCACTCACCTGAGCCCAGTGTCAAGACACAGTCATGAAGACTAGGGGCGGGATGGGGCGCAGGTGGCTAATGTGGCCTACATATTCATCATTTATTATTGGAGCGCAAACCGAATAACGATTGCGTACCCTGATCTGGCCCCCGTGTTGGTCCAGCGCATCTATCATACGGTCCGGTTGGCGAACACAACTGGTACTATAGGTATAAGTCCATACAGCTCATTAAAAAAAAAGAATTGGGTGTTCTGACGTAGGAAAATCTGATCGACACAGCGAAAGCGGGACAATTTCGATCAGAACAAGACCAGCTAATTCGTGACACTAGCAAAAACTCTGATTGCGGTGCAAATTTTGAAACAAAAGCACCAAACCTCGACTGTTTTTAACACCAGCTAGTTAACACACCTTCCTCACACAGAGACTGTCTCTCCCGCCTCAGGACAAATGAAAACGGTCAAAAAATTCCATAAGGTCGTCAATGTGCAAACAGCGAGTTCTCGAACAAAACCCATTGAGGAAAAGAGAAGAGGGAGTCGTACCATTTCGTCCATAGGCCGAAACATGGCGAGTTTGCAGACGATCGCGGGGCCACGCGAGGATGAGGAACTGGTCAATGAGAATGTAGGGCAGGAGGGCGTTTGGGAAGAAGAGCATTGCCAAGCAGGAGAGGGCAATGTAGAGACCTGTCACCCCCACAGACAGTCCAAAGGCCTAAGAGGAGACAATGAGGGGGCAGTGGATGAGAGGGAGGAGTGAGTGGCAATTAAGCCTAAACATTCATTTCAAGGTTCATGATACTGGGAGCGTTCCGGAGGTTTGCGGCTGTATACTAGAGAGACGTTCGACAAGACATGATCACCAAACTGGAATTATCGCGATACTTCTCTCAATACAGAAATGAGGATATACAGATCGCCATGCTGGTG